CCAGAAAAAGGGGTAGGGGGTAAGAGACACAGAGTTACAGACATGAATGCTACAATCTTTTAAATTCATTACTTAACAAAATGTAATTTAATGAGCTACTAAAATTGAAGGAATAGAAGAGACTGTGAGAACACCACAATCCATGACCTCATTACAAGGCTCCCCAGATTTCATTTTTGTTCCTTTATCACCCATAATGGGTTATGTATTGGGCTGAACCCATCCAGCATTCAAGGGAGAAAAATGAGGCTATCTGTTAACATGATTTAGAGTCTTACACACTCTTCTTTTGGGACGCTATAGGTTTGGATTTTGCTATCAGCATAGCACTTAGCATCATCATTCAGGGAAGAAATTTAAGTATATTAACTAGAATTTTAAATGTACTAAAATTTCTTGCCTGAATGATGCCAACTTTCATGATACCAATACCTTTGTTATTGTTAGTATGTGTGTATGTTTTTAATGTTTTTTTCTGTGTGAAATCTAGGATGGGTGGGTCTATAGACAGTTACTGGATTGAGTTTACTGGGGGCATGTGGGGGCCGCTGGAGGAAAATGGGGAGCTAATAAGTGCAAGAATGAAGAAAATGTTCTGGAACTGATTGTAGTGATAACTGTACAACTCTTAATATGAATCAAGTATTGGGTTGTATGATTTGTGAATTACATGCCATTAAAACTTTTTTAAAAAGAAATTTTAATACAAGCTTTAACCTCATTTTCATAGCTACAGTTCTAATTCAGAAGCTCATCATTTTGTCACCATCTCTATTTAGTATTATGGAAAATGTGCACAGCAGCCAACTGCCACACATTATTGCATTTAGTTTTCACAATAATCCTAAAGGGCAGGGACTATTATTGTCTCCATTTTACAAATAAGCAAAGACAACTAGTTTATTTATGGTTACAGATAAAACTAAGTCTATGCCAGTCACCACTTTTAATCACCACCATATTCCACCATCATCTATGAATTCTATCAATTGCTTTCCAGTCTCCATTCACCTACCAAAGTCTTTAACACTACAATATTCTAACTGCCAACTAAATTATACACTAATTGTATCACCTTAAAAATCCCCAGAATTACAAAAAAAATTTATGCTTTCCTTTGTATTCCAACAAAATGTTCTTACTAAATGCAATTTGATTGATGCCAACTCCACCACCACCACTTAAAAAAAAAAAAATAGCTCACACCTAACCTACCGAAATCCAAATGCCTGTGTTTGGATTGCATATACTTCCTACCCTCTATTTCCTGTTCTACACTCAAAAATCATTAAATTTTACTATTTCCTCCCCTATCCGACTTTTAAAGGGAATTTTGTTTTATCTCTCATGGAAACCTCATCTTGATTGATTTCATAGTTTATCCTATTGTTATATATTAGTACTTAAACTGAAATCGAAGAATAAGTTGTTAGAGGGGCAGTGGTTCTAAAACAATTCAGGAAAATAGAAAACAAAGTGCAAAGGCCCTGAACACAACTGTAAAGCAGCAGCATTGGTGGAGCTTAGTGTGGGATAGAAGAGCAGTACACAAAATGAAGATTGTAAAGCAGGCAAGAACCAGCTTATGTAGTCTTCCAGACCACAGTATAGTTTTTCCAAGCTCTTCCGGTTTCTGAGCCTGTAACTTTTTTTTTTTTTAAACATTTTATTAGGGGCTCATACAACTGTTATCGCAATCCATACACACATCAATTGTGTAAAGCGCATTTGTACATCATTCTCAAAACATTTTCTCTCCACTTAAACCCCCGACATTAGCTCCTCATTTTTCCCCTCCCTCCCTGCTCCCCCCTCCCTCATGAGCCCTTGATAGTTTATAAATTGGTATTTTGTCATATCTTGCCCTGTCCGACGTCTCCCTTCACCCACTTTTCTGTTGTCTGTCCCCCAGGGAGGAGGTCACATATAGTTCCTTGTAATCGGTTCCCTCTTTCCTACCCACTCTCCCTTTACCCTCCCTGTTTCGCCACTCACACCACTGGTCCTGTAGGGCTCATCCGCCCTGGATTCCCTGTATTTTCAGTTCCTATCTGTACCAGTGTACATCCTCTGGTCTAGCCAGACATGCACGGTCGAATTCAAGTCATGGTAGTGGGAGCGGGGAGGAAACATTTAGGAATTAGAGGAAAGTTGTATTTCTCATCGTTGTTACATCACACCCTGACTGGCTCATCTCCTCCCCGAGAGCCTGTAACTTTTTATGGGAGCGAAAAACCCCAACTTTCTCCTACAGAACAACTGGTAGTTTTAAACTACTGACTTTGAAGTTAAGCAGCCCAACTCATTGCCTATCATGCTACCAGGACTCTAGCTCAGCTTAGGAAGGAATGGAAAAATAAGAGGCCCCAAAACTGAATTCCAGATATTCAAAATAGAAGCCCTTCTAAGATCACCAGTTACTTTTATTTACCAATGGTTTTTCGGTCCTTATTCCATTTATCTTTCTGCTGAATTCAACACGTCCCGACAACTTCTTCCATCTCTTTTGCAAGATTTATGCTGTCCAATTATTCATGCTCTGTCCAATGTTAAGAATTCTCAATGTTCCATTCTAGGTCCTTCTTTTCTAGTACTCTACTCGTTCTGGAATAGTCCATCAAAAATGAGCCCCGGGGTACAGTGGTTAAAGTACTCGGGTGCTAACTGAAAGATCAGAGGTTCCAGCTGCTCAGCTGGAGAAAGATGGACAGCCTTGGAAACCCTGAGACAGTTCTACTCTGTCTTTTAAAGTCCCTAAGAAACCCATAGAGATAGTTCTACTGGGCCCTATAGGGTCGCCATGAGTCAGAATTGACTCAATAGTAGGGAGTATGAGACTTGTTTTTGAGGTTAGATTAAGTTTTTTTAAAAATTATTTAAAGATCATTTTATTGGCGGCTCTTACAGCTCTTTTAACAATCAATACATCAATTGTATCAAGCATATTGTACATATGTTGCCATCACTATTTTCTAAACATTTCTTTTCTAGTGAGCCCTTGCCCTCCCTCTCCACCCCACCCTCGTGACCCCTTTGATAAATTATAAATTATTATTTTCGTTTCTTGCACGAACCACTGTCTCCCTGGTTTCTGTTTTTCATGCCCCTGGAGGGGGTGGTGGAGTGGTTATGTGTCAATCACTGTAATCAGTTCCCCCTTCCTCCCCACCTTCTCCTTACCTTTCTGATACCACTACTCCCATTCCAGTTCCTGCTTTCCGTGTTATAGGCTCTTATCTATTAATTGTACCTATGCACATGCTCCGGTCTAGCCCAGAACATGAGTTTTAGAAGTTAGAAGGGAGAAAGACAAAACTTTCTACTCCCGTAAAGATTTCATCTCACAAGGGCAGTTCTATCCTGTCCTACATGGTCCTTATGAGCTGTCTACTTGACATCTCCTATTTAGATAGCTTCTTTCAGAGTGTGAGAAAGACACAGCCCTTCTGAAACTCCCATAAAGATTTACCATCTTGGACACTCACAGGAATCGTTCTAATCTGTCCTATGAACCAACGCAATGGCAGTGAGCCTGAGCTCATTAGAGGCCCATTCTGATGGCGACCCCACACGTGCAGAAGAAAACTGCCCCACAGGGTTTTCCTGGCAGTGACCTTTCAGAAGCAGATCACCAGGTCCACCCTTCCTTACCTGGGTGGGGTTGAAGCTCCAGCTTTTCAGTATTTAGTAGCTCCGCACTTAAATTAAGGACTTATGCCACTCAGGGACTCTTGTCTGGCACTAGCACCTCCCCAACCCACACCCATCCGCCTCACGCCAACCCCGCCACCGCCAAAAAAGAGGCATTCACAAAACTGAAATTTTGAGATCACCACAAAACCAAAGGGCATTAAGATTCCAGTCAAGAAAACCTTATGGAACAGTTCAACTGTCACAGGGGGTCACTCTGAGTTGGAACTGGCTAGAGGGGTACCAAGCCACTGACACAAAACCACTATAGGACAACTCTCTTAAACTCGGGGCTTTGTCATCAACTACCAGTTCCTTCCATGGCTCAGGACCTAAGACAGACCAACCTGACAACCACCGTGATGGCTACAGACGGGGCGCGACGAGAGGGCTGCACGATAGCCCCCCTCGCGTCCGACCCCCCAAAATAAAACGCATGGCCCTTGGTGAGGACGGCTAGGAAGGGAACGCAGGTGAGGAACGGCCCAGACACTGCATGAGTATCCCGTCCCAGACCAGATGGGATCTGAGGGGAGGGAAGTCACCCGAGGGGACAACAGGCCTCATTAAGGGACAACTGATAGACAACGGCAGAGGCCAGTTTCGGATGGAGGAGGTCAGAGGTGACAGCATGGACCGGGGAACGCCGTCGGGCCAGCCGGCGGGGAGGACCCGCGCTGAAGTAGCTGGGAGGCCCCGGAGCGTCGAGGAGCCGGGGGCAGGCTGAGAAGCAGCGGGCGAACTCCAGAGAGTGAACGCCGAGTGGGCGGACCGCGAAGGGGAGGGGGCTGGGAGAAACGGCCCGTAGAGAAGCTCGCCGGGCCCGTCTTACCAGCGTCTGCGAGTCCGGGGCCTCGGGCCAGGCCCGCCGGAAGCACCGTCTATGCAGGGGGCAGTGGAACCGGCAGTCAAAAAGGAGCACCGAGCGCGGAGACGCGAGGCCGCTCGCTCCCCCAGTCAGGGAGAGCGGCTGATGGCGGGAACTGTGGCCACACGCAAACACGCACGCACGCACGCACGCACGCACACTCGACGCGACCAACCCCGGCGCGTGCGCGCAAGCTTGTAACTCCGCCCTTCCTGCGCTTCGCCCGCCCCAAGAGAAGCCTTGCAAGGAAAGCCCGCCCCCGGCGACAGGTAGTACGCACGCGCACTTCCCATTTTCACCCCCTTTCGAGCTCCCTCCATTTCCCTCCTACTGAGCCCCGGCTGGGCATGCGCACTAACGTCCACCTGGGACGGCTCGGCGTTTCCCGCCCTTCACGGGCTTCCGCAGAAAAGTCAGAGTTCATGTTTCTATGGATACCTACTCGAAGCCTGGGAAACGGGGACTAGTAGGTGACAGACGTCCTTCCAGCACTGACCCTGTAGAGGCAAAGGACATACTCGGGGACAGTTAACTCGGCGGAGGTCAAGGAGGCGGGAAGAGGCGGTGTGGGCGGGGTCGGAGGGGGTCAGAGGCCTGCGAAAGGGGCGGAGCGAGCGAAGGCGGATGGCGGCTGCGGCGGCTCATCCTCTTCGGCGGCAGCGGCGCTGAACCGGGGACGCGGTCGGGCTCGTCTGGTGGTGGGAGGAGAGCGGCGGCCGCTCCCAACATGCACAGCCTGGCGACGGCTGCGGTGAGTGACCAGGCCGCCTACCCTGGGCCCAACACCCCCCCTTCAGCCCCGCGTTTCGGCCCCCTCTCCCGGCTCCCTGGGTCGGCCTCGAGTCCAGCTCCTTCTGCCCTCGTCCCGTGAGGTCCTGCTGCCCTCTTCGCCGCGTCCGGCCTGCGAGGGGGCTGGCCCCCGCGCTCCTCGGCAGCCGACTCCCGTGGCCTCTAGCGCGGCGCGGCGCGTTCTTTTCCGGCCCTGATCCCGCTCCCGGAGCGCCTCTCGCGCGGCCAGGCCGGCCATTCATTGATTTCAACTGTTTTGAGAGCGCCAGTTGCGAGCCGGGCCCGAAGAGCAACCCTGAGTCCCATCGGACCCGCCTTGCGCTCTCGGAACTCCCTGCCTAACGTGGCGGGTTAGAGATGGCGTGGAGCTCCAACCATTTGCTCTGCAGGTGGAAAACCAGAAGTCTGGAGTGGTGAATTAAGTTATTGCCTCTGACTTACGGTTCTCTCTGCTTTGAAAACCTGTCTCACACGTTTTCGTTCTACCTGCCTAGTCTTTTAACAAGAAAAGCGGATCGCGTTATACACCTGCCTGAAGTAGCACTGTGTATGGCTTCCTATGCACTTGATACAATCCGGATTCGTTATGGTAGTCGCCAAGGCCTTGTGTGCCCACGTTTTCAGCCTCATCTTTTGTCACCGGCTAGCTACACCGACAGCCTTTCTAATCCTCCCTCATGGGCTTTTCCACTCTTAAGGGGCGCTTCTGGTCTCCTAGAATGCCTTTTTTTTTAACCTCCGTGTGTGTCAAGCCCATTGTGGGTGGAACAGGCTCCCCAGTCTGCTTCAGAGTCGCCTCTGCGTGAGCCCTGGTGGTGGTAGTTAAGCGTTGGGGTGCGATCCTTGGGTCAACAATTCAAAACCACCAAATAGCTGCGCGAGAGAAAGACTAGGCTTTACCCACATGGAAGAACACGCCAGCCTGTGCGATCACGAGGTGTCGAAGGGATC